GAAGAAGACGGATTTTTGGTTTTGTAATGTGGTTTACAGTTTGGAAATTAACAGGATGGGAAGGGTGAAATTGAAGATAAAGAAGTTAGAAAACACAAATGGACGCCAAACTACATTTGCTAAAAGGAAAAATGGCATCTTGAAAAAGGCTAATGAGCTATCAATTCTATGTGACATTGATATTGTTCTTCTTATGTTCTCACCTACTGGGAAACCTGCCTTATGTTGCGGTAGACGAAGGTAATAATAAAATGTTATGTCTCTTGTCTTTCGAATGCATAATCATGTATCTTGTTTTCTGAAATGTGATTTTTGTTTTCTTTCAGTAGCATTGAAGAGGTGATTGCTAAGTTTTCTCAAGTAACACCGGAGGAAAGAACGAAAAGGTTTGGTGTTTTTTCGTATCGGATACGTTTTCTTATCGGCGTTGTTTGTTTCTTGTTTTACTCATTGGGATTGCATTTTTGGATACAGGAAGTTCGAGAGTCTTGAAGTAAGTTGTTTCACACAATCAGAAAGAAGCCTTTCTTTGTGTTTTTGAATTAATACCGAGCCTTCGCCTTCGCCTTCGAGAAGCTTTTTGTTTTGTCCCTGATTCAATTGTGTTTGACTTTCGAAAAGCTCAGGTCTTGAAGAAAACTTTCCAAAAGTTGGATCACGATGTAAATATACGCGAATTTATAGCCTCAAGGTGAGTTGGAGACAGTTTTCTTCTCTTAAACTTCATAATCTCTCTAAAAACTCTAACATTGTCTCTTTCTTGTTTTCATTTTCTTTGTTCGCCGGTCTCAGTAATTCAACAATAGAGGTAATTCACTATAAGACTCGTTTTCCTATTTGCCGCCTTTGTGAGATTTGGCAAAGCCTAGAACTTTATCAAACTGCATTTTTTTCAGGGCTTGAGTAATCAAGCAAGGATTCTGCAAGCTCGGATTTCTGAGATACATGGAAGATTAAGGTAATAATCTTTCTGAAGGGTGATTCTGTTTTTTTGGTAGGTTCGTCCTTTGTTTGATACTTGTTTGTATCGTATGTCTGCAGTTATTGGACAGAACCCGATAAGATAAACAATGTTGAACACTTGGGACAGCTCGAAATTTCGATCAGGCAATCTCTTGATCAATTGCGTGCACATAAGGTAACTCTTTTTAAAACCTTGTCCACTTCACTTCATCGGCGAAACGAAAATAACTCAAAAGCTTTTTGTTGATAGGAACATTTGGG